TGTCCCTATTTATCCCTCGAAGTCTAGTTCAAATGCAACCTCTTTCATGACATGAAGCTTTCTCTAATCTCCCACTTGGAGTTTATTTCTCCCTCTCAGAGCACGGAACCTGGGCTTGTTATATACCACAACTCCTCTATTTCTATTTCTGCCCCAGAGGTCTGCATACATGTACTGCTTGAGAACATAAGCTCTGCAATCAGACCGGCCGGGTTTGAATCCTGGCTCCTCCGCTTACCAGCTCTGTGACTTTGGCCAAGTGACTTAACCTTCCCATGTTTTTATTGACCCATTCACGAAATGAGAATAATGAAAGTACAACCTCTTAGTGTTGTTTTGTCAATTAAATGACATCATAGATTATATGTCTGGCATATCAATGTTAATATCAATTTATGTTATTATATCTCCTATTAAATTGTGAGTTTCCTGAAGACAGGATCTGTGTCTGTTTATGTTTGTAACGATAGTGCCAGTTGCCAGTAAATGCCTTAAACGCGGTATAAATTCAATAAACATGTTCTATGTATGAATGACTCTTATGCAAAATCGTCTGATCAATCCATCATCAACAGTTTATCAGGTACTTATGGCCCATCAGATACTGTGCTATGTGTGAAAGACATAGTTGGAGAGACACTTAAATTGTCATTTAATCTTTACAGTAGTTGAATACAGTAGGTATTTTAAAGGCCCCATTTTAGAGATGAGAAAACCAAGGCAAAGAGAGGTTAGGTAATAGGTGAAGGTCACACAGAACCAGTGTTTGAGTTGAAGTTGGCCTCACCCCGAATCTTACACTCCACATTCTTCCCATTGACCACCCTGTCAACTAGTCGCACAGTCGCCTTTCCCCAGTGTTAAACATCAAGGAAGATGCATTATAAGATCTTTTGCAAACGTTTTTCTCTGTCTTAAGAAATTTGCCCTTTTGCCCCCAAATCTGAAGGCTGTTCCTACTGTATCTTCTCCACCTCCTACTTTTCTTCTCCTTATTCTGCCTGTAGGCCCTGGTTCTTGCCCATTTGCCAGAACCCCCTGAACTCCTGGCCACTAAAAGCTAGAGAACTGCTTCCCTTTGCCTCAGCTAGGACAGACATTCCCAAAGATGGCCTCCTGCAACCTCTCCCTCCTCCAGGAAGCCTTCCCAGCCTGGCTGTACTACATGAGGTCCGATCACGCAGCCTTTACACATTCTATTTGTTCTACACTGGTCTGAACTCATGAGGGATGCCCTGTGAGCATCTTAAATCTGCCTCTTCCGTGTGCCTGTGCCTACCCCATTTACTGGCAGCCCACAAGGGAGCTGTGTGTATGGAACAGCTGGTCCCAAGGTCTGTGTTCAGGCAGGGCCCCTCTTTGGCGGCTGGAGGGAGAAAAGAGATGTGTTCCCTGCTGAGCTGTTGCAGCCCCAACCCCTCATTCTAACGAAGAAGTGTGTCAGCTGCTGCTACTTCTCCTGCCACGTTTCATCCCTGAAACTCGATCTCCTTCCCCTTCTAGGCAGAAGAGCCAGCTCTCTAGTTATCAACTAATTGAGCCAGGATCCCCCAAACCCTCCGCCTTCTCCCAGTGCTCACTTGTTACAATGAAATTTTCTGCTTCAGGGAATTGGGAAGTTCCACTACTTGGGTTTTCAGGAACATACTCTTCTTGTCTAGATTTTTTGGGCCAAGGACAGGGGTAGGATGCAGGAGGGGAGCATAAAACACCCTTGACAATGATAATTTCGCAACCTGTTAATGTTTTCTTTTCCAGCAGGTTTATCCCACAGTGTCTGCAGAATGTTTGATTCTTGAAAGAAATTTCCTGAAAAAAATGAATATAGAACTTGACCGGTATTACATGAGGCCATCCCTGTGTGCACACCAACGTAGGGCAGAGCCAGGCAACACAACGTCCCCCAGGGTGGCAAGGGAGATCCCACCTGGGATGGATCATCCGCAGTGCAAAAGCACCCCCGGCCCCCATCACAGAAACCAACTGTACTCCTTTCCCACCCGATTGCAGACCTAGGGTATAAAGTCAACACCCTTTTATATCAGCCACAAGTAAACTGCATTGAATTCAATCCCTACTGTCCTGGGCAAGGCAGCCAAAGCGCTGACCCTGGGCTAACTCAGTTCTACTTTCTTCCCCTTTGCTACTGTTGGGATACTAAAGCACTGAGATTTGGCCCAGCTACCTAAGCGCTGAACTGAGGTGTCTGGGTGTGAGTGAGACTCTACCAGCTCTGTCTGTGCCTCTGCTCTGTCTCATGTCTGAGCAGGCTGGCATTGGGGAGGGGGTGGAGCACCATGGGGGTAGTGCAGAGCTCTCCCATCTGAGTGTCATTCTGGGACCCAGGCCAGGCATTTGGCTTCCTCTCCAAGAGAGTCAAAGGCTGAAGCTGCTCAGACAAAGGGCCAAATAAAAGCTAATGGGGCACTCAGTGACTTCAGCCTCTCCCTTTCCTCCTCCCAGGCATTGGGGTCTCAAGTCCCTGGGAGGAGAGGGTGCAAATCAAGACGTGACGCTCAGCTCAGTGCAGATTCCTATTTGCCTTTTTTATTCTCCTGGCATCCATAGTCTCTGTCTTCCTCCCCTCACCACCTCCCACCTAGAGTGCTGTAAAAAATGCAAATCAGTAGGATTTAAAAATTCGATCCCATGCCAGGAACACCCACAAACCCTCCATTAAGGCAGATTCTGAGGTGGGTGGTGTGGTCCCCAGTTCGAAACACAACGAGGAGGATTCTATTAGATTCTTTTTCTCAGAATGGGTCTTGGACCTCAGACACTATCTGTGATGACCTTAAGCTTTCTGGTACTGCACACATAAAAGAAAAAAAAAAAGAGAATTGTGCACGTGTGGGCTGGGGCCATCCATCCCAAGCTGGCATGAGAAGCATGTGAAAACGACTATGGGAAGGGGCATGGTGTGAGTCCAGAAGAAGAGCAATGAATACTGTTGTCTCTCAAGTAGTGTATCTCTGAGTCAGTAGCTTTTGCATCTGAGTGTCACCACAGAAAGGGCTCCAGGAGGAAGGACTAAAGAAATGATCGTTGACATGAGCAGGCAGACCCTGGAGTAAGATCGACAGGAAGAGTGGCGGGGTGACTTGGTCAGGAAGCATCAACGAGAACACCTGCAGTTTCGAACTCTGTTTTCGAAACCCCCCACCCCCAGAGCTGGCCCCTAATACACTGCCAAGTTCCTTCCAAAGCAGGAAGAGTGTAGCCTTTGCAGGCAGAAGTGGGAAAGGCTGTCACAGAATCCGGAGAGCCATGAGCTGGCTCTTTCTAGATCCAGGTCTGCTGTTGTGTGGCCTGGTTGCCCCTGGCTCTGGAAAGTAAGAAGAAAGAGGAGAGCAGAAAAGTGAGACTGTGAAGTCGACTCCAAGAGAGACAAACTAAAAGAGACAAAAAGAGACGAAGGCAAAGACACAACAGAGAGGCTGGTGGAAGGAGAGATGGGCAAAGCAGAGATGGGGGTGTGTGTGCATAATATCTGCCTGAATTCCGGTGGGTGAAAAAATAAGAAAGGTGGCAGGTGGCGTGGGGGCGGGAGCAGTGGTATATGAAGCCAGTGAGAATCAGCTTGGCTCTCCCTAACACAGCTTTAGCGGCCACCACTCCCCCCAGTTCGGTGATTTCCCCCTCCAGACTGGGCTACTTCTCCCACTCCCTGCACCCCGGGGCCTCCGAACGCTCCCTGCGCACTCCCCAAGCCCAGAGCTGACATCTGGCTGGGCCTCCGCAGCTCCCGCTCGCGACCTGCCAGGCAGAGCCCCTCCTCCAGCGCAGGGCCCTCCCCCGTGTTTCCAGCTGCCAGCCCCCTCCCTGCTGGCAGACAAGCCCGGGCAGACAGCCGGCCAAGCCTGCCCCCGCAGCCGCGACAGCTCTGCCAAGCCCGGCAGAGCGGGGGGCCCAGGGCGGCACCGGCTCCCTTCGAGCGAGCGGTCCCGCTGACCTCTTGCCTGGGCAGGGATCAGGCCCCAGCACCCTCCTCCCCCTCGCGCCGCGCCCGCCGGCCGCGCTCCGGGCCGCCCCGCGCAGCCCTGCACCCAGGCGCTCGCGTCCCGCTCCCCAGGCCTTCGCTCCCGCGCTTTCCGCGTCTGCGGCGCCGAAGTCCCGCTCCGTCCGTGCGCCGGGCCGTCTCTGGGCGTGCCCTGTGTTCTCCCTGGGGTTCTCTGTGTCACATTTCGGCCTGGTTGTCTTGCTCCCTCTGTCTTTCTGTCACTTGTGCTTGTCTCATCACAAATCTTTGCTCAAAGTTTCTTCGTGACCTCTTTTCCTGAGGACAAACCCTGCCCTCTGCCTGCCCGCCCGAGCCCTCTCCTCTGTTCTCCAGCCCTCCTCACGTCCCGGCTCCCGGGGACCAGGTGCCCGTCGGGGCGGAGCAGCCCTCCCTGCCCCGGCGCCAGCTTCGCTCTTACCAGCTCCTGTTTGAGGCGACGCAAATAGCAGTCCATCTCCCTGCTCTCCATCGTCATGCGGCCATTCGTCGGGCTCGGTTCAAACAGACAGTGCCCGGGTGGGACCCCGGCCCCACTGGAAACTGCGCGCCGGGCCAGCTCCCCGCCCCTGCGCCCGCACCTCTAGCCGCACAGAGCTGAGCCTGCGCTGCGAGCCGGGGACTTAGAGCCGCTTCCCCCGCGGCTGGCAGCGCGCGGTCGGTGCTGGGGGCGGAGGGAAAAGTGGGACAGCCAATGAGAATTCAGGGGGGCTGTCTTCAGCCAATGAGCAGGGCGACCAGGGGGCCGAGCTGGGCGGCCGCGGCAGACCCCACCGCGATGTTTGCTTCGCACCCGAGCGCAGCTACCGGGGCCGGCGGGGAGACACCTGGACCTGGCCAGCGCGGCGGAGGGCATCGTGACTCCAGACCGTACCGCGGTCCCCAACGAAGCACGTGACCCTTGTGTGGTCAAAAAGGGAGAGCACAGTTCTTTCTACAGGGAGGGACTGGGTAGCGTTCTCAGTAAGAGGCAGAGTGCCATAGTGTCAGTCCCTTTTCTCAAACTCCAGTCTGGAAGGGAACACCCCCACCCCTCCGCTCCCATCCCCAGAAGTCCCTCTGAAGCTCTTTTTTTTCCGGAAGAGGACCCTGGGAATGTGGCTCCCGCCCCACTCCTAGAGTGAGGTCCTCGCAGCCCTGCCCTCGCCAGCGGAGCAGAGACGCCGCTGCCTGACCGGTTCACCTTTGTCACACAAAGCCGCCGAAGGTCGGGTGCGTCCCTAAGTCTGATAGGCGAGATCCCTGCTCTCAAGAACTTACGTGGGGGAGAAGGGGCGGCAAGACAAACAGGTAAACACACACACACGGTAAGCACGGTAATTTCAGACAATGATTTTTATAAAAACGTGAAACGGGGTAATGGGGTGGGGCTGCTTTCCCTGGGGCCTTCAATGGGCTGGGCAGGGAGCAAGCCTTTCCTTCCCCAGGGCTCAACGTCAATCATCCTACCTGACGCTCTGGCCTTTGGCGAAGCTCTAAGGCTGGGGAAGATGCTCGGATTTTATTCAGCAGGAGCGGTGGGAGCGCCAGCCGGGCCCTAGAGGAGGGAGTTGCGGCCGATGGTCTCCAGATGGGTCGCAGTCCGGCGGGGTTGCTCCTCCCAGCCCAGCCGGGGACGCCGGGCTCCGCGCCCGCCAGCGCTGCTCCTTCCCAGCCCGGAGACTCAGCGCCCGGCCGGGCCAGCCGGGGACTGTGGCGCAGAGCACGGAGAATAATTAAGCAATTAGCGACGTGTTGTTCCAAGGTAATTAACGGGGAAAAGTTTGCCCCAGGCAGCATTTGCGGTCTCTGAGTGGAACAATTGTAGGAACACCCGAGAAGGCACGAAAGGTCCCGGCGCCACGATCCGGTCGGTGCGAGGCAGCCAAGAGCGCCAGATCGGCTATTGAAAGACGCGCCGGCGGCTCACGCCTGTAATCTCAGCACTTTGGGAGGCCGAGGCGGGTGGATCACTTGAGGTCAGAAGTTCGAGACCAGCCTGACCAACATGGTGAAACCTCGTCTCTACTAAAAATACATAATTATTTGTATTTTTATTATTTGCTGGGCGTGGTGACCTACGCCTGTAATCCCGGCTACTCGGGAGGCTGAAGCAGGAGAATCGCTTGAACGCAGGAGGCGGAGGTTGCAGTCAGCTGAGATTGTGCCATTGCACTCCAGCCTGGGTGACAGAGCAAGACTCTATCTCAAAAAAAAAAAAAAAAAAAAAAAAAAAAAAAAAAAAAAAGACTGGGAGCAGGGAGGAGAAGGATAGACACAGACAGACACAGAGACCTGGCATGGGGAAGGAGGAGGGACAAAGATGGAGGGGAAGAGAGGGAAGGTGAGAGAGAATGAATCTTTAGAAAAGTTTGCAGAGTCCAGTTGAATGGCCTCCACTTAACAACTCCAGGTCCTCAATTATACAAGACCTCTTGCCCACACCTTTTGGCCTAGCCCCAAGTGTCCCTTTGGCTGACGCTGGGGCAGCTGTAGTCAATGGACAGAGAAAAGAAAAGGAGGCACAGGATGGGCTGAACTTGGAAGGTGACCCCTGGACGAGCCCAGGCAACTCCGGTCCTACCACTCTGAGCAGCATCGGCCCTCCTGCCTGTTCTGCAGCTGTGGGCAGGAATTCTCCAAGAGATCCCTTTCCGTGGGACCCACCAAATGTTCAGAGTGAGAGCCACTCCCAAGGATGGAGCTGGGGTTTCCAGCCCAGCTGAATAAGTTCTGCAGTTGAATACTATGGACTGAGACAGAAAGGACCCGGCATTGACATGTAGTCCACAGAGGGGGCCTTCAATGGGGCAAAACATCACAAAAGGGTTCCCCAACTCAGAGGGCCTTGCTTTGCTCCATCTCCAGTCTTCAGCATGGTAGTCGGATGTAAAAAAACTCTGCGTCGACGTTTCTGGATCTGTGGCTGAAATAGTCTTTTTTTTTTTTTTTTTTTTTTTTTGAGACAGTCTCACTTCCAGGCTGGAGTGCAGTGGTGCAATCTTGGCTCACTGGAACCTCCGCCTCCCAGGTTCAAGCGATTCCCGTGCCTCAGCCTCCCAAGTAGCTGGGATTACCAGCACCTGTCTTCACGCCGAGCTAATTTTTGTACTTTTAGTAGAGACGGGGTTTTGGCATGTTGGCCAGGCTGGTCTCAAACTCCTGACCTCAGGTGATCTGCCTGCCTTGGCCTCCCAAAGTGCTGTGATTACAGGCATGAGCCACCGTCCTGGGCCTGCTGAAATAGTCTTTAGGGTCAAATTCAAGCCCCAGTTTTCTCCATCTCTGAGACTTTATAGGTTGGAATCCACTTGGAAGTTAGGAGGCTGGCCAGGGTTGAAAATCCAAAAGAAGCGGGCTGATCTCTTGGCAAGAACCTAGGACTGGGTGGTTAGGTCTTCTGTGCTGCTGGCAACAGAGTATAATCTTGCACAAATGCTTTGTTTTTACTGGGCCTCAGTTTCCCCTGCTTACGGGTTTAAACCTTTGTGAGTCTAAAACTTTATACTCCTTACAAAACTGTCTTCTGAAAACTGTGAAGTAGTCATGAGCAGGGGAATGTTTACCCGATCTTACAGATGAAGAGTGTATTGTTAGCAAAGCCAGCTCACATTCCATCCATTTTCAGGTAGAGGGAGATAGCAAGAAAACAAACTGATAATCATAATCTCAGTGCAAGAGAGGTTTTAGACAAGTCTGAGGTGTGGTTCCCTCTGTGTGGTTTCCCATAAGACTTTGGAGGACAATTACTGTCTAACTCTGAAGTCCTTTCATGGTGCTGGACCATTGCGACTCACCTGCTCCCTTGCTAATGAGAAGGCCAACGTTACCCTAGTAAGTGTGTGGAGGAGTCTCTGTCTTACCTTGTTTCTGAAGAGGTAACTCTCATCTGGGAAGAGCAGGCGGCAAAAGCAGGAAAAATAGCTGCCTTCTGCTTTTCTTTTTAAAAAAGGATTTAAGTGATAGAGAATAAAGCCTGTTGCCATGGTTTATAAACATGGATAAATATTTCTGGGCTGAGAATGGGGGCTGGGGGACATGATTCATTTTTGCTGAAGAGGAATCAGATGGCTCAGCCTCCTCCCTTCCACCCCACTCCAAAACTCAGCCTGGAGGATGAGATTATCTCATTTGAAAATAAATAATAAAGAAATCAAAGGTCTTGAGACTGGTTGTGAACATACTTTCTCAAAGCTGTTCAGAGCTGGGGTGGAACCATCAGAAGGTACATGGCCACTTGCCCTCCACTGGTGGGCACTTTACCTGACAGAGGGGGTGCAGCTCCTGGAAACTGTGTCCAATGCTGTCAGCTCTTGGGACTTGACTGCCTCGCCTAGCAGGGAGTGTGGTCCCCTTTGTCCCACTACCAGAGCCTGTAGCTCCTGGCACCTATCAATGAGCTCAAAGGAAGAGGCAGAACCAGTTGTGTCCCAAGGGAGCTCAGACCCTACATTAAACAATGGAAACATCATCATTCTCCTGGCTTCAGATCCTGTGGCCCCTACCTAGAGATCCCTATCCACCAGCTCCTAGCCAGCTCTGGAAGACATACCCCTGAGTGAGGCAGTGTCCAGCTTCTCATCTCTACTGGCAACACTCTCTTCTTGCACTAGGATGTGCTTCCAATAGCTGCGGGGGGGGGGGGGGCACATCCTGGTGCAAGGAGGGAGAGAGATGTGGTCACATGCAGTCTGGAAACCTCATCATAATATCACCCCCAAGGGCAGGGGCCCTATCCCCAGTGCCTTCATTCCTTGCCCCCTGTGGCTGCCAACTATTATCCCAATCCTGTCACCCCCCCACACACTGCTTGATCATCAACAGGAAAGGCTGACCCTAGAGATAAACACATGCTGTTGGAATGTATTCATATATCACTGCGGAACTGTTTCTCTCTAGGGAGAGGACCTTGCCTGACAGGCTGGCCCAGAGGTGCTGGGCAGAGACTGTGTACGTGTCTGTGTGGGAACACATTGGGTTGGTAGGGGAGGAACCGGACAGAGGCCCGGCTATTCTTGAAAGAATCCCACTGCTAGCTTTCATGACACCTTCCTTTGTCCACCTTAGACAGAGGACTGGGTCCTCTAACCCTTATGATTCCAATACCCGGAGACACAGAAGAGAGGATAAAGTGGCCTGTGTGTTGGGGAACCCTCTCAGTTCCAAAAGAAATAATCACTTTGGGTTTTAATTTAAAAACCTTTGGACTGGGTGGAGGAATCAAAGACTGTAGTCATAAAAAGCTCCATGAACTTTGCGTGTCTCTTACAGAGGGAGAAACTAAACCCCAAAAGGTTGGTCTGTATGGTGATGGAAGGGGGTCTCCCAGTTTTCAGCATAGCACTCATTCTGCTATTCCACACTTCAGAAAGCAGGAGGGATATGCTCTTCAAGTGGATTACTGAAATGATGAAAGCCCCTGAGGAAGTGAGTTCTGATGTTCCACATCCACAGAATTGCCATCACTTTTACCCACAGTGCTAACTTAGACCACTACTCTCACCGCCTTCGCTTCCTCATAAAGTCACTAGGCTTCAAGATCAGGCTACCAATTTCAGAGTTGCTAAAACTGTTTAGAGAGGGACTGAAGGAAGGTGTTGGAAGAAGAAATAGCAGTGTAGTATTTTGAGACAACTTCATGCATGAATGGCTCCCAGCCTATCTCATCTGAACAGTTTTTAAGTGCAAAATTAGATTTGTCCAAATAATGAACAGTTAGTCTATATGCCAACATTCATTTCTATATGGAACAATTTGGAGCTATGGGCTTGGTGCTTATGGTGCCTAAGCAAAGATCTCATTGTTACTTGAGAAGCAAGTATTTCCATTTTGCAAACATTTACGGGAAAGGCAAGCAAATGTTTGTGTGTACACACACACACACACACACACACACACACACACACACACACATAAATACACACACATTGAGACAGGGTCTCACTCTGTCGCCTAGGCTGGAGGGCAGTGGTGTGATCACGGATCACTGCAGCCTTGACCTCCCTTGGCTCAGGTGACCCTCCCACCTAAGCCACCAAAGTAGTTGGGACTACAGACACATGCCACCATGCCCAGCTAATTGTTTTTCTTTTCTTTTCCTTTCTTTTTTTTTTTTTTTTTTGGCATATTTTTGTAGAGACAGGGTTTTGCCATGTTGCCTAGGCTGGTCTTGAACTCCTGAGCTCAAGCAGTCTGCTCACCTTGGCCTCCTGAAGTCCTGAGCTACTGTGAGATTACAGGCGTGAGCCACCATACCTGGCCAGGAAAAGCAGATGTTTTTGAACTGCAGAGAACACATGAAGAGTGCCAGGGCACAGCTAAGGGAAATATGGTATTTGTGCAAACTAATGCTGGTGGATACAAACTGTACCAGAAAGGAAAATTGCTCATTCCTAGGACCCTCCTGGGACATCCTGCAACATCTGACTCTCCAGAGGCCCAGTGCTGGCTGCCTGTAACCTTACCGTGGCCTGGAACTCAGAGCAAAGGCTCATTTTATCACATACCACTTGGCCATCTCCATTAGCTGTAAGCAAGGACCAGTGGTTGGCAGCTTACCCGAGAGAGACACGTTAGTTAGAGAGAAAGAAAAGCTATCTGCTTCTCCTCCTGAGACCATGCGGTGAGGAGAAAAGAGGTCACATCTCAGGTCTGGCTGTCTGCATATTTACTTCCATCAGGCTGGCTCTGAAGTCTCTTCTGTTGTTTTTAAGGAGCCAGAGAATCTCCCAGCTCTAATTAGACATCAACCTGGGGCATGCTCGAGATTTCAGCCTGGACACTCTGAAAGGAGCCAATGCCATTGATGACAGCTGCTTCTGCCTAGGCTTTTGCTTGGGCAGAGGGGCAGGACCCTCTCCTTAGCATTTTGAGGAGTGGCGCCAGGTGGGCAGTGACTGCACTAGCAACAGTCTGTCCCAAGGGAAGGCCTCAAATTCCCAGAGAAGAAAGGCAGCGAGGCCGAGAAACACGCCTCTTAACAAGTGAAGATGCAAACGGGAGAAGACGAGCTGCAAGGGAGTTTGGACTTTACTACCTTCTCTCCTAGCATTGCGTGGATTTTCTTTGCTGTGATTATTCTTCATGAATCATCATCCATAGAAAGTGACTGAGGCAACAGAGAGTGAATAATGAATCCCTCAAATAGTCTTCTGTGTTTCTGCCTGGAGGATTTTGGAAATAACTTGCATCTTAATCTTTCTGACTTAGAATCATAGAATTTGGGAGCTGAAAAGGACCTTCATCAGGGCATGTGACCTCCTAGAAATACTGGAAGAAAAGATATGTGGGTATGAACCTCTGGTTCAACACTAAAAATAGGCCTAGCCAAACATATACTGAAGGCTTTCCTTGTATCAGGAACTCATTTATTCTTCTCTTTATTCTTCCCAAACGCTGGGTGGTAGGTGCTCCTATTCCTCCCTTCTGCAGAGGAGGAAGGGAGATGAGACAGTAGGGCACCGAGAGGGGCGTGCTGGAACCCTCACGTGGGACTGGCCCTGCTCCAGATTCCACATCCTCTCACTCATTCCGCTACCTCATCAAGTTGCTTTGGACAAGTCATTTAACTTCTTTGGATCTGTTTTCTCCTCTGTGATCTCTAAAGTTTAAAAATTGCTAACAGTCTGCATCTGCCACCCGAGCATGTGATATAACAAGTCAGGAAAGTGTAGTGCAGAAATGTTAAGTCACTTGCCCTAGGTCCCCCAGGTTGCTAAGGGCAGAATCAGCACGAAAACCCAGGCCCAGTGACCGCTGCCCTCAGGCAAGGCCTCTCTCCCTTCCACGGCTCTGTGGCAGGTGTTCTAGGGGAATCCAATACCTTGCCTTAGGGGAGACCTGTTCCATGATATCAGATAGACTGGAGGTGTTAGGTTTTGATGTGGCCAGTCATGACACCAGGATGAGCTTAGGGGGCTGGCGATTCTTGTCTATCTAAGCACCTCCAACCTGTCTGTCTGTCTGCTGTTTGTCTATCTTTCTCAGGCCATACACAGTGATCAAACCCCACCTGGTAACCAGAGGGAAAGAAAGAACGTGACTGGTGTGTTACATCTATGCACGCCCCCTGGTGGTATTTCCAGTCGTTTGTCCTCTTCATGCAAATGTTGCCACCTTGTGCCAGCTCTGTCACCCAGCTTCCTTCATGACGACAGTGGCTGCAGTTCTGCTCCTCTCTCCTCCTTCCCCTGTCTTTGGCTCCCTCTGTCCAGAATCTGGTCATTGACTGGTGTGCAGCCTGGGATGTGATGTGTGCCTTGGGAGGAGACAGGGCCCAACACAGGATCTCAGCTGTGCTCTGGTAATCAGCGTGCACCACCGTTACAAGCATCCCCGTCCCAGTATCCTCTCTACTCAAAGAGATGGGAAAGGGGTGGATGTGCCAATAAACGTATCATTGGAGGCATCTGAAATGAGAACAAGGACATCCTGGATGAGGCATTATTCACAATGTGTATCCATATATGTGTGTGTGTGTGTGTGTGTGTGTGTGTGTGTGTGTGTTTCAGACAGCCTGAAATGAGCTCTCACCCACTGGCGAGTGGAAAATTAGCTTTGGCAGGTGAAGAACTGGGTGACAGGTGAGGAAGTCAGCAGGGTGTCAGTGTTATCCTTCTACTATTGCTGTTTTCTGGTGTTGCAAACAATATCTCTCCCACCTCTCCTGTTCTGTGAAATGTAATTAGGCAGAAGAGAAATGACTTGGATAGGCTTGGGCATGTGGGAGAGTGCTATGAAGATGTTACAATGGCCTCGTGACCTTGTAAGCAAGCCATGTGCTTGCAGGTGGGCTGCACTAGGCCAGTTGGGAATTACTATTTTCCTGATGGCCCATGAAGCAAGCTGTGTGGTTTACATTTCTAGTGGGTGGAAGAAAAGATGGCACTCCGGGGACTAAGTCCTAGGAAATTCTGCCATCTGGCATAATGTTGGAGGCAGTGTGTGCCAGGACTGGGATGCAGGAAATCTGGGTTCTTGGGCTGGCTCTAGATTGGCCCTGTAATCTCTAATGCCTCAGTTTCTCTAACTGTAAAGTGGGGCAGATAATCCTACTGCTACCTCCTTGTTGTGAAGGTAAAGTATGCAAAGGCCCTGTGAAATGTCGAGAGCCCAGTTCTAAATGTGAGGTTTGTCTGCCAAGGGAATCTGCCAAGCCTACTGGGAGGCAGCAGTTTGCTTCTGTGTCAGTTTCCACAGTCTGTGCTCAGACAGGTACTTACGCATCTCACATCCCTAAATCTCACCTCCTATCTATAGTCAGCAAATAAGAAAAAGGGCAGGCTGATGCTCTGCTTCTGTCTGATCTTCTTACCAACCCTCGCCTCCCCTCCCCCTGACCTGATGCAATGATCTTGCTGCTCTCCCTCATCTGCTCCGGGCCTGTCAGTTTAATTTAACAAGGTTGTGGGAGAGGTTTGATTTAATCAAACCAGTTGCTGTATCCATCCTGCTCAGAGGTCCCTCTGTGTCACCACTGAGGCTCAGATTAGACAGTGACAATTACTTCTTCTTTCCTGGCTATTGCCTCCCCCACTCCCTTTCACTCCCTGGAGGGAACAAGGAGGCAGACCAATCTCTTGGGACCTAAGAATAGATGCGGGAGGATCAAAGGAGGGAAACAGGCTCTGGCCTGAGAAAGCCCCTCTCCACGCCTTACATGGCCTTGTTTAAGGCTGAGTAACAGCCCAAAGGGCGGGGGGATAGAAAATGTGAGCAAAGCTGCCTTGCAAAGGCTCAAGGCTGCCTGAGGACAGAGCCGTGCCATCATTGATGGCCCCACAGAGATAAAACCAGTCTCCTTTATTGTCAGCAAACTGGGGTGGAGGATGGGTAGAGAAGTATGATAGCTGCATGCTCTATGTACTCCAGACTACGAGCATTTATTTCCAGGTTCTTGGCCTGGATTCTGGGGTCTCCAGAGCTGGGAGACAACTATAACAACAGGAAGGCAGGACCCCGTCCATCTGAGCTTCTGTTCTTGGTGTGGACGCTGCAGTGACAGGAGGAGATGCCACCGGAGCCAGGGGTTCAGGGGAGGCTGGCTGCATGGGTGTGAGGTAACTATGCTATGTGTGTTGGGGAGTGTGTGTACGTGTGTGTGTGTGTGTATTAGGGAGCCAAGGGAGGGGAGTATCTGTGCAGAGTTCAGAAATCCAGAACAAATGTCTTTTTTTGTCATTTAACCCTTTCATTTCCCTCCCTTTCCAGGAAGCAGGTGCTCAGCACCTCCTCTTCTCCTAAGCACCTCAGAGAACAGAGACAAAGTCCTCTTGAAGGGGCGCCCTTACTTGAGGTGATAGAAATTCTTTTTCTTTTTGTTCCTTTGTGTCATATTCTTCCATTGGTCGGCAGGCAACTGACAGGTGTAGCCTTCCCTGAGCCCCTTTCAGAGTCCCCCTCCCTGCCATTTGTCTCTCAGCCAGCTATCCGGCAGACACTGCCATCCGCAGGAGCTGAATATGATTAGCAGATACCCTTCCTGACAGCTCCAAAGAGAATCCCTCCAATGCATATTCCATTGAGTGCATCTCATTGCTGCTGACAGCCGCTTTATCAATTAAATTCCACATTCCCAGTCTTCAGAGACGCGATGAACCTCCCTACCTAATAAATCATAGGTCCCCAGTTATTGTTAAATATCCCATCAGTCTCTAATAAGCTCCCTGCCAAAAGGGGCAGGTTATTTATTATGCTGCCTGGACAAGAATAAATTGGGCCCCTTTCTCACAAGGAGAAGAGCAAACATGCCACCTTTCTCCCTAAAGACTGAGGCAGTGGTGTTAAATGGGACAATTAATCAACGTGGGCCTTGGGTAGAGAGGAATCTGGTCTGAAGCCTGAGGGAGGATCACCCGGGGCTCTCTTCCAAAAGCCAGTCAGGCAAATCCCCATGGTGGGGAGTGGCTGTGTAGTGGGCATGGGCTCAGGCTTTTGCTACCTCGTCCTCTTTCCAAATTCCTAAGGCTAGTCACCCCATAAGCCATGGGACACATGTAAAAATCGGTATTTTCCATTGGGAGGTAGCCAGCTAGGATTGAACAGGGTCATGAAACAATACATTCTATCCCGAAGGGCAGAAGTTGTTTATTGATAAACTTGATACAACTTAAGTTTATGGATGGTGCCAGTTCACTGAACAGATGGCTCAGGAATATAACAATGAAAGTACCCATGGCTAGGCAAAGCAACCAGGTAGCATGAGCTCAGTCATGCTTTGCTGGATAAGCAGCATGTACCCAGGGGAGGCACTGGTACTTGGACAGCAGTGTGTCAAAACCAGAAGTCCTAAGAGCTGCTAGGTCTAAGAAACCGTGTGTTGTGAGCCTTGCCATTACTTGCCTCATATTAGATCCAAGACCTAGGTGATGCTCCCAGGTCTGCAAGTTAAGATCCAAACTGCTCAGCTTTGCCATTAACCAAGCCCCAAGTTACATTTCCTACTGTATTTCTCTTAACTGCTAAATAACACTACCCTCCTATGGGAAAAGCATAACACACTCATTTTATATTCCTATGGTGGCAGATGAGGTGCTCCATCACATAGGGCCAGGATGTCTCTGCATCCTCCTGTCCGGGTCATTTCTGCCAGACCTGCCTCCACTCACAGCAGAAGACTTAACTTTCCTAAACGACCGTGGCTTTCATGCTTCCACGCCTCTACACAAACTATTGCCTGTGCCCAGAATATCTTTCTGAGACTTGTCTGCCTGGTGAGCTCTCCTTCCACTCCCACTGCCTGATGAACCTCTTATTCATTCTTCAGGATAAGCTCAGGGTATCAGCCCCAGCTGCTTCACTGCACTTGAGCTTTGTCTCCTGGTGCTGCTGCCTTGGCAGAAGTACCGGACTCCAGGAATTAGGTGAACAATCATCTTGTATGTGCAGTTGTTCTCTCATACTTCCACACGTACTTTAAGCCACTTTGATTTGGGGTGTGGAGGAGAAGGGCATAGAGAAGAAAGCTATTGCCCTTTGAATACCAAAAGCTGTTTTCCTCAATTTCTCAGAAGTTCTCACTCTCTCCCACATGACAGCCACACTTTGAACAACTAAGGCCCTGAAAAATGTCAGCACTGCCTATGATTTTACACCAGCTTGTGCTCCTTGCATATTTCATGCTTGATCACTTCCCTAGCCGGGCTGTTAACTCTTTTAGGACAGAGGGTAGAAAGAGCCTAGACTTTGCTGTCAAATAGATCTGAGTTCCAATCCCATTTATAAGCTCTGTGACTTTGAGCAGATTACTAATCTTCCTCTGAGGAGTTACTTGAGGGCAGCATCTCCTTCAGCACCTGACACAGAAGGCTTTTAGGATAAAGTCCAGACACTAGCCTGGCCCACAGCTCACTCTCCTGCCTCATCAAAGCTTACTCTCCCATTTGCATGCTAAGCTCTTTTAGAATGCTGTGGTGGGCCTCACATCCACACCTCCACTTTCTACTCCTCTGTCACAGGCCAACTTTGATTCATTTTTCACATCTTACCATAGCTCTAATGCTAGGAAGATGTGGCAGAGACTGCTAGTTGCTTCCAATATCCCTTCCCCCTTTCTCTATAGTAATGGACCTCCTCTTAAATAATTGTATAGCTGGGCATGTGATTGTGCAGAAAAAATGACATTTCCCTGATTTTTTTTTTTTCAAGAAGGTATAACTTTATGGCTAAGTTCTTTCCAAGAAATGCCAGATAGTGTGGCAGCTTTTGAGAACATTTCTTAAAAGGACTGCTGGCATGATGACCATGACCATTTCTACCTTCTATTTTGAGTCGTCTTCTTTCCTGCTGGCTGCAATGCAGACATGAAGACTGGAACTAGAGCAACCATTTGGAGACCAAGGCAGATGCCTGGGTGCTTGGGATCTCTGTGGACCAGGACTGTTTATCAGTCCTGTTTCCAGAATTCTCTACAAGGGCAAAATGAAATTCTATCTTGGGGAAATAAGCTCCTGTTTGGGGGTCTTTTAACCAAACCTAATCTTGACTTCTAAGTCTTTCTTGGCTCCCCACATCTAGTTACCTCCTTGACTTCAGTAGCACCCAGCACTTTATACAGGAGATGAGGTCACCTGTTTGTGTGCACGTCTCCCTGAGTGCAGAGGCTTTGTTTAGTTTGCTCCATTTTTGTACCTCTAGCACATGGCCGATTAATACTAGATGGTCAGAAGATTTCTGCTGAATGATTAGAGGATTAGAGATGTTTTGTGGACTGAATGCAAATAATAACATTGCCTACCTTGGGTTCCTTTGGGGGTCAAATGAGAAAAAAATCTTAAGTTTTCTTCCCATCTTTCCACATTCCCCCACCGATCCTCATACCCAGGGTGGGCCACCTTACACTATGCCTTCCTTTATACTGTTTTCTTTTCCTCTGGGTTCAGAAGCCTCCAGTGCAAAATGATGGGACAGGATCATTTGAATCTTAACATTCATTCTGAGTCTAAGTGTCACTCTCGCCTCTTCAGTTCATAGGAATCTCTCCCTCCTCTAGCTCCCTGGAAAGGTTCTCCAGGTAGATGGAATAGCAAACACAAAGGCACTGAGGTGTTACAAGCCACGGAGATCTAAGCATTTGGGCTAGTTTGGTCTGGCTGGAGGAGGTAGGTGGGCTGCACTGCTGGAGAAGAGACAGGGATCCCATTGTTATTTATCCTGGGGGAGGCTGGGAGACAGATACGATCTGGTCCATTTCTGTATGTGTTATGCTCACACCTTACCTAGTTATTAAATGATCTCTTGCTTTTGTGCTTTATCTTTATAGCACCAAAAATTATGGTCAACAACACTGTCATAACTTTTGACTAGTGAGAAAAAAAATGTTATGTGTTATTCACCATGGTTCGCAATAACATGACTGCAATATTGTCTGTAAAACATCACAAACTACAAAGGCAATAACAGAATGCCTATAAAACTACAAATGTTTTCTGGAAATGTAGTCTTTTTGTTTTTCTTGGGATAATCCTGTGGTTCTTCAGCAGTGACTGGTGTGAGTTCTATAGAACCACTGCTATGTGCATGGAGACCCAGCAGAGATTTTTGAGCAAGAAGGTGTCAGCCATACAATGTTTACTGGGTCCATGAAGTGCTTGGTACTGGGCTGGAGGGCCTAGGATGACAAAATTCCTGTCCTTGAGAAGCTCACAGTTTATTTAGTGTGAGGGACATACAAGTAGCTAAGTAAATAAAACATATGAGCCAGACTGGAATTACTTACAGTGTGATGTGGGACCCTGGGGTGGGGAATAAAAAAGCGTCAGAAGGAGCAGGATCTGGAGCTGGACCCAAACAGCCTAGAATATCCACTCCAGAAAGATCACTGCAGCCCAGGGTACATGGCTGGGATAGAGAAGAACTCTGCCAGAGAGACTATTCAGGAGGTTTTTGCAATAGTTTGGATGATGAAGGGACCTGAAATAGAGCAGACGCTATGGTAAGTGAAGAAGAATGGATGAAATATTTGGAGGCAAAATTACTTGTGCTCAGTAAATTGTTAGAAAGTGGGGAAGGATAGAGGGTGGAGTCAGTAATTTCCCAGGTTTGTGGTCTGGGGATTAGGCAGATAAAAGAGCTGGCGTACTAAGAGGAAGCCTGGGACCTTTAGTGCCATCTCCTCCATCAGTCTCCTTCTTTCAAATGGATAGTTGACATTTTCTTAATGTTTTGTAAATTTACAGGCAAAGTTAGCCTCCAGGACCACCTTCCAATGGGATTACCACGTCAAAGCCCCACCTATATCATATGGAATCTGGACCATCACTGTGTGTGTGTATGTGTGTGTGTGTGTGTGTGTGTGTGTGTGAAGGGGGTTGGGCCAATGACCAGCACTATAATCTATGGACAAAGTTGGGGTTGGTTGCAGAATGTATTTAAGGTTGGTATTCTTTGTATTTTTAAAAATTTGTTTATATTTTAGGAATTTGAGATAGGGTCTCTGTATGTTGCCTAGACTGGCAACTCCTGGCCTCAAGCAAGCCTCCCGCCTCAGCCTCCCAAGAAGCTGGGATTACAGGTGTGAGCCACCCCACACAGCTAAGTTTGAAATTATGAATACGATTGAGGTCCAGGAATATTTACATTTGGCATGATGACTAAGATTTTGTTACAGGAGCTCATTCATTTGATAAATATTGAATATTTCCTATGTGTCAGATTCTGTTTTTCCCACTAGGGATACAGAGAAGAACAAGACAGAATAGATCCCTGTCCTCATAGAGTGTGGGAGACAGGCAGCGGACATATAATTTCAGGTAGTTATAAGTATCATGAAGAAAAAAATGAAGCAAAACAAAAGAATAGAGTGCTGGGAAAAGCCGGGGAGCAGAGAGGGTAAAGGTGCTGTTTTAGGGTGTTTAAGACCTGTTTGAAAAGGAAGAGCTCTTTGAAAAGGTGATATTTGAGTCGAAGTCCACAGTAAGGAAAAGTGGCAGAGACTGTTAGTTGCTTGCCCATGAGATGACGGGAGAAGGAGCAATACAGAAGGCATGCAACATTTGAGAATCTATTAGGCATTCGACGGGAGGTGCTGCGGGGGCGAATGCATGGAGGCAGATGGATTTAACATGTCTAGAGTTTAAAGGGAGATGAGGCGGAGATATGAACTTGGGAGCTGTCGGTCCAGTTCCAGGTTCCCAGTCAACGTACTTTTATCAGAGCTCACAGTGCGCCAGGGGCTTGCCAGGGGCTGGGACTCGGAGATGAGGAAGGACACACCGGCCAACGTGCTAAACCCTTTGGTCCGGATACGCTCTGGGCGCACTCCGCGAGCACAGAGAAGGGAGTCAGGTTACGGAGCCGGTACCGTTGGGGACGAGGCGGCCGCGGAGCGACACAGGCCGGAGGAACGGAAAACGGAAGCGCAGGGGGCGGGGCGGGGCGGACGCACCGGGCGCATCACAAAGAGCGCCGAGTGGGCGGAGGCGCCGGGGCCCAGCTTGGTGGCTCCGCCCAGGAGAGGGCGCGGAGGCGGGGCGGCGCCCCCACCGCGGGCCCGCGGCGCCCTCTGCAGGCCACAGGCAGCGACTCACCAGTAGCCTCATCTTTCCTCTTCTCCCTCTCGTTGCTTTCCTCAGGCCACATTTTCTTGTGTGTGGGGTAGTGTTCCCTATTCTCTCAGCCTCCGACTTCCGTCCCTTCCCTCCATTTTCAGGCCAGGCGTGTGAGTGTCTTTGAGGGAAAACTGCCAATAAAGTTTTTCCTCCTTTCGCTGCCAGGATCCCCGCCTCCCTTCAAGTACCGCGAGATCTGATCGGACGGCGCGGCTACCATGGCGGCGGCGTTTGAAGGCCCGGCGGCCTTAGCGACTGTGGATACAGCTATGCCGGCCGAACATGTGGCCTCGCAGGTCTCGGCACCGCAGCCAACACCCGGGCCTGTGAGGAGCCTGCGGACGGCTCAGGATATCCGCAGCCCGCGGACCCGCACGGGGGACGTGCTGTTGGCGGAGCCGGCCGACTTCGAGTCACTGCTGCTTTCGCGGCCGGTGCTGGACGGGCTGCGGGCGGCCGGCTTCGAGAGGCCCTCGCCCGTGCAGCTCAAGGCCATCCCGCTGGGGCGCTGCGGGCTCGGTGAGAGCGGGGGACCCGGGAGAAGTGTGGCCGAGGGACGGCGGCGGCCACGTTCGCGCCGCAGCTCGGGAAGAGCCCGCGGTCGGCCGCCGGGCCTGGGGCAAGGCGCTAAGCTCAGTTACCGTATTTGTAAAACTAAGGCGCACTGTTGAATTTTAAGATGTTTAAGGGCTTTTCTAGCACTGACAAGTGGTTCTGAGTTTGAGAAGATGAAAGGTACACGTTCAGGGACTAGGCGTGTTCTCATACGTTTTTGAGATTCAGCTAAAAATGAAGGTACCAACTAGGGGAATCTCAGGAGACCCTTCTAGTTCTCTGATTCCATGTTAATCCCTAAGCTGCTTCAGTGAGTACTGACTAGTGATATGTATGTATTTTTTCCTTCGCAGATTTAATTGTTCAAGCTAAATCTGGCACTGGGAAAACCTGTGTGTTCTCCACCATTGCTTTGGATTCTCTTGTTCTTGAAAACTTAAGTACTCAGGTGAGTTTCCTCAGAGGGCCAGAGGAGGATGTGTCATGTAGACTTTACCACAGGTCAGATGAAATACCAGTAGCTCCTCAGAGGTGGAAGTGAATTTGATGAATTGAGTTAAGGGTGGTGGTGGCGAAATTTGGAATTTTCTATGTGTACCTTATTTAAATAGAATAAAGCTAACGTGTCAATTTTGTCACTACTTGGTAACACAGACAGGGATTCTTTACTGACTAGATTAATGTGAGACTTCACATTTGACTTGATTCATGGTATTGCAGTGCTCTGGCTATTGCTGGTAACTGCAGGGTTTGTTTTTGTTTTTGTTTTTTTTGAGACTGTATGGCTCTGTCACCTAGGCTGGAGTGCAGTGGCCAATCATCGCTCACTGCAACCTCGAACTCCTGGGCTCCAGCGATCCTCCCACCTCATCTTCCTAAGTAGCTAGGACTACAGGTGTGTGCCACCACACCTGGCTTTCTGTGTTTTTTTTTTGTAGAGATGGTGTCTCTTCAGTGTTGTATAGGCCGGCCTTGAACCCTGGGTTCAAGCAATCCTCCCATCTTTCCTTCCCAAAGTACTGGGATTACAGGCATGAGCCACCACATCTGGTGTGCAGGTGGTTCTTAAAGCTCTGTAAATGTATCATATTGATCTCTTGACTTCTAGGTTGCCTCAGAGGGTTTCTAAGATTGCCTTATCCAAATTAGCAAGAAATTTGGATTTGGGGATCATTTCTTCAACAAAGATTAGTTGAGCCCATATTATGTATAAACGGTATGCTACACATTGGGGATTCAAAGATGAATTAGATGTGATTCTCATAATCTTACTTTGTAGTTTAGTTTTTATGGCAGACTGTATTTCAAGTTCTCAGGCATTGGTATATCTAATGTTGAATCTTCAACAATGGTTTTTAACCCAGATACCCATGTTAATTCCCCGAGAAGCTTGTTGAGTCCGTCTTATGTCTGCCAAATCCTAGGTGATGTTGCACATTGGAAATCCTCCTACTTTGCAAGAACCTGAGCTAGTCTAATTGTAGACTAGGATATATTTGAGATTTTGGTTTCTGACAATTTGGCAGCAGATAAAATGCTAAAATCCTGGAAAAGTTTCATAAATTCTTTTTTTTTTTTTTTTTTGAGAGATGTAGTCTCACTCTGTTGCTTAGGCTGGAGTGCAGTGGCACAGTCTTGGCTCACTGCAATCTCCTCCTCCCAGGTTCAAGTGATTTTCCTGCCTCAGCCTCCCAAGTAGCTGGGATTACAGGTGTGCACACCACACACCCAGCTAATTTTTTTGTATTTTTAGTAGAGATGGAGTTTTGCCATGTTGGCCAGGCTGGTCTCAAACTCCTGACCTCAGGATATCCACCTGCGTCAGCCTCCCAAAGTGCTGGGATCACAGATGTGAGCCACTATGCCCGGCAATTTCATATTTTAATATTTTGTGTGTTTCAAAGTAATACATACTCATTTTTGAAAATCGGAAAAATTCAGAAAAATGGGAAGTACCAGAAAACAAAATCTATAATCTCACTACCTAGAGAGAAACTGCTATTAACAGTTTAGCATGTTTTCTCCCAGTCTTTTATTTTGTTTTAATAAAGTTTTTATTCCTGTAGTTAAAAGCACAAAGTATTGTTTTTGCCTCCTCCAGTAGTTACATTGCAAAGTTTTTACCATGGCTCTCAAGGCTTTTGTGATGTAGCCTCTAGAGCTAGATCTTTACTTTACTTTCCCACTAATTCTGTATAGCCATGTGGGCCTTCTTTTTCTTCCTCAAATACACCAAGAACACTGCCATCTTATGGCCTTTGCATGTGCTGTTTTCTCTTCGTGAAAACGCTTCCCCATAGAGTATAGCCAGCTCTACTCTATGCCATACTTGCAGGTCTCTGCCATACTTGTAAGTCTCTTCTTAAGTGTTACCTCCTTAGAGGAGGGCTCATGACTTTTCATTACCTGTCATTACTTATTTTTGTTTATTGTATTCTTATTAAGAATGAAAGTACCATGAAGACAAAGACTGTACTGTTAGATTCCCCAGTGAATAGTATGTTGCCTAGCACACAGTAGGTTCTAACTTAATATTTGTTGAATAAATGAACGAATGAATGAAATACAGTCAGCCCTCCCTATGTTGCCTAGCACATAGTAGATTCTTACTTAATATTTGTTGAGTGAATGAATGAATGGAATACAGTCCGCCATCCCTAACTTCAGGTTCTATATTAGCTGATGCAGCCAACTGTGGATCAAAAATATTCAGGGGAGGGGTGGAGGAACAATAAAAAATAATAAAGAATAAAAAGATGGCCGGGCGCGGTGGCTCAAGCCTGTAATCCCAGCACTTTGGGAGGCCAAGGCGGGTGGATCGCGAGGTCAAGAGATCGAGACCATCCTGGTCAACCTGGTGAAACCCTGTCTCTACTAAAAATACAAAAAATTAGCTGGGCATGGTGGCACGTGCCTGTAATCCCAGCTACTCAGGAGGCTGAGGCAGGAGAATTGCCTGAACCCAGGAGGCGGAGGTTGCAGTGAGCCGAGATCGCACCATTGCACTCCAGCCTGGGTAACGAGCGAAACTCCATCTCAAAAAAAAAAAAAAAAAAAAAAGAATAAAAAGATACAAACAAAAATACAGTATAACAATTTACATAGGATTTAAATTGTATTAGGTATTATAAGCAATCTAGAGATGGTTTAAAATATGTAGGAGGATATACATGGGTAATATACAGGTATATGCAGTCATATAACAGACTTGAGCATCTGTCAGTTTTGGTATCTGGGGGCTTCCTGGGACCAATCCCTTGTGAATACCAAGGGATAACTATGTTTTACCCTATCAATAAAAACTCATTTGAAATGATCATGTAAATGAAATATAGTGTGTCATGTATTTCTCTGACTCAAAGGTATAATTTGTGGTTTTTTTTTTTAGATTTTGATCTTGGCCCCTACAAGAGAAATTGCTGTACAGATACATTCTGTTATTACAGCCATTGGAATAAAAATGGAAGGTTTGGAATGTCATGTCTTTATTGGAGGGACCCCATTATCACAAGACAAAACCAGACTTAAAAAGTGCCATATAGCTGTTGGATCTCCTGGTAAGGTAACAATGCCTGTTGGTAACCAGTTTTAAGGAAATTTTAATATAAAAATAAAGATATATGGGAATCTCTGATAACTGTGATAATTATTTTGGTTAGAAATGGACAGCATTAGACCGGTGAGATATAGGCATGTGACTGGTTTATCAGTGGAATTTATGAAATTTCTATTTCTAAGGATGTGTCAGAACATATGGGATAGTCCTCTGAGAAGAAACGCGATGACTTTAGGAGGCCCTTCTAAGCAATGGACTGGGATTATTCTTTGGCTTCTGTATTGCATTTGGTTGTGAATCACTCAGAATTACAGTCTTGCATTCAGTGCTTTAGGTTTTTTGTTAGGATTGGTGTTTATTTACTGGTGATGAAATGTAAGGGGAAAACAGTGAGTTTAGGCAAGATCAGAGCTCAGTATTTCTAATTTGTGGTTTAGTGTGAACATGTATAATGAGAGTTGAATCAGGAAATTCAGCAGAACAGCTTGTGAATAAGTAGAGTAACAACATTGGCTGAGATTTACACAAATTTGGTACATCATAAATATTTCAATTTTTTTTTTTTTTTTTTGAAAATTAGGCAGAATTAAGCAACTCATAGAACTTGACTACTTGAACCCAGGCAGTATACGCCTCTTTATTCTTGATGAAGCAGATAAGCTTTTAGAAGAAGGAAGCTTCCAGGAGCAAATAAAGTAAGAAAAATGACTAACTTGACTATTAAAACAGTGTCCCAAAGTGTCTAGCTTTTCTGAGTGGTGATTATTGTCTGAATAATTTACATGATATATATTTTTATTTTGCAGTTGGATTTATTCTTCCTTGCCTGCCAGTAAACAGATGCTGGCAGTATCAGCTACTTACCCTGAATTTTTGGCTAATGCTTTGACAAAGTACATGAGAGATCCCACTTTTGTAAGACTGAATGCCAGTGATCCAAGTCTCATAGGTATGTGCAGCTTTTAGCTACTTACATTATTTGTTTGTTTGTGATA